CTAGGTAGCCTGCTCTGGGTGCTCCTGCTTTAGCAGCAGTTGGTTCTCCAGAGGCCTCTTTCAGCCTCAATCATTTTGTGAGTCTTTGATTTCACTTTACAGTTAATGAATCAATAGGAAAATCCTATTTTGGGAGCTGCTCAACTTACACAAATATCTTTCAGTACAGAGATAATAATCAGGTTAGTTTATTCTGATTGTCTTTTAGCATGTGAACTATTAAGACCCCAAAATTACTTCTGTTGTTTCATGACAACTCCCAAATACTTCTGGAATAACAGCAACCAAGCTGGTGAACATATAAACCAAGTCAGTGTTTACAAAGTGGTCACAAAGATTCTTTTGGGCTTTGAATGTAAGCCTTAGCGTTGAATAAAAAACATGGCAGTGGTAAGTCTGCCTTCAGCATCCCCTAGGATGTTACAGGGATGTGTTGAGTGAAAGAATGGAAAGAGCTGTGCCATAGATCTTCAGATCACTCTAACTGAGAGACCTCTTGAGGCTGTTTACTCCACACCAATTTAAAACCCAAATATTTTATGATGGGACAAATAATCATTGCTGTTACCCTTTGGGAACTTTCTAAGTAAATTTATCATTCCCTTATCCTTAACTTTATAATCATCCTTAACTCTATAATCATGTCTGTTTAATATCTAAGGACTTGAAACCATGCAAATCATGTAAACCAGAGGTGACAGATGCTCTTAGAAGTTTCCAAACAAAAAGAACCAGAGTCAGAATAGGAGTAGTAAGTTAAAGCATTTATTACTAGAAGTCTAATATATTCAAGACAACAAAAATTTATTCAAGACAATAAAAAATATCACATGCATTTGATTATAATTCTAGTGAGAGATCTTATGCAAATCCAGCATAAAAACCCACTGCAGATGCTGCTATTTATTAATTTTGCCAGTTCATTAAGTTCTTTGTCTCATGTTGCTAAATGCTTTGCAAAAATATATAACACTAATGCTATTGTGATACACCCTGAAATGTGGAAATTGTCAGAACAAATTCATCTAGCTGGAGAACCTATCAGTGTAAAAGAATAAATAAATTTATTTTCTCTCTTGAAACTGTCAGGAACTTTCTGTTGGTCAAATTAGTTGACACAAATGTTGTTCTGACAGGTTGACTTTGATTGCTTGTACCTAACCTCCTCATGAAATCTAATTTGCATGAAAGACCAAAGCTATAAGGAATTAAAAATAGACAGTGCAAAAGAATGCACTTTAGGCATAAAGTGCAACATTTGAAGTTTAGGGTAGAACAGATTAATTATTTTTGTCCCATGTAACTGCAAGCTCAAAGAATTTGAAACTCTGCTAAGATATCAAATGGGAAATGACATTGCCAACAACATGAAGAGTACAAGAAAAAAAAATCTAGAGATGACATTTCTATTTAGGTGAACAGTATAAATGGTTGTTTAAACAAAAACTGGTTATAAAAGTCTGTCTGAAAGAAGCATCAAATCTGCAACAGATATGTGACTTTCTTCCTTAGAAGGGCACCTTAGAGTCCATATCTCCTATATGTTTATCTGTCATGCTCTTGTTTTAGCAGCTCTGTAAACCCAATACTAACAGGAATTATGCTGGTTGGTCAGAAAAGTTGCAGGAAATAGCTGGTGCATTCAAGATTTCTTTTTCATATAATGTTGGTTATTATGCAATTTAAATTGTAGTCTGGTTTGAACAGGGGCAATGAATTTAATATTTTTAAAAAAGATGCACAAGACAATGTCAGAAAAGAGAGATCTTCCATTAGAGTTGATATCCTTTATCAATTTTAGTTGCCAAAAGAAATTAATTTCTGTCAAGTGAAAACATATAGCAGCCAAATATTCCTAGTGGTTCTTGACCATCTTTTGAGTTAAACAAACTGTACACAGAAAATCTATCATGTGCAAGGTTTTGTTGCTGTTGTTCAGTTTGGGGTTTGTGTTTGGGGCTTTTTGCTTGTTTGTTTGAGGCTTTTTATCTGACTTAGTTCAGCCATATTTAAAATGTTTTAAGTAAAGAACTAGAGCAGTAATATGTAGTACAGCAGTATATCTGTTATATCTATAGTTATTTTACAGATCACAACAATTCAATAGGATTCTTTCATTTGCAAAAGATAACCTACTAATTGACCCAAGTCCTCATAGGTTGTTTATGGAAATCTGCTTATTTTCCAGAAAATTCTTGATCAAATTACTAGAATCTGCAATTATCTTTCAAATACTATTGGTAGCTGTAAATGTCTTTCAGGATGATTTACACTATAGTGAATCCTGAGGAGAGACAAATGTCTCAGTCAAGTACAGGTGAAGATTCTGCATCTGCAGATTTGTTTAAAATAGATTTTAATTACATGGAGAAATTTAAATGCAATGATAGTAGGTTTTTGTGGTGTGCCATTTTTTATAGTAGAAAAGGGAGGCCAGACACAAATACAGAAGGCTTTTTAACCTGTTATGTTGTCCCTTTTTATTTTTCCTAGATGTCTGACTCTTCCTTTTAAATTCTTAATGGTATAAATGAAAGAAAAACACTGTAATCCTAGCCAAATGACTCCACTGTCCTAAATTTCTGATGTCATTTAGCTGTTTGAAGTCTCTTTTGGTGTTGGGTTTGTCTCATGTGTAAATCATTTACAAAAGTAATATTTTCTATTAAGACAAGATTCCTGTTCTGGCACATCCTAAATATACTCAAATAACTTTTTCATCTTCCTAATTTCTTTTCGCTTATCTGATTATGTAGTTTTTGCTCAACTGTCATCCAATACATGGATTTTGTCAGTGTCATTTCTGATCTCTGCTGACAGTACTAAAATTTCTCTTCTTCTGAATTTCTTAGTTCAGGGTATTTGCTTGTGCCCAACAGATGAAGATCTCTGGAGCAGAAATCTCATACTAAATTTGCTTTGCCACACCATGGTGAGACCAGCCAAAAGAATGGGAGGAGAAAACACTTAGTGCTAATGAAGTGAAAACAGTAAGATGAAGATGACTCAAGAAGTAAGGAAATATACTTGCTCACATGTCATTAGATTCTTCATCTCTCTTTGGCAGAATTATTTGCAAAAATACAAACAAGAAAAAGCCAAACAGAAAGAAATGCAGGAAAAAAAGAGGAAAATAGTGACAAAACCCTCCCATAGTACATAACTGGGCAAATTTCCCCTAGCAAAGAGTTACCACTAAGAAGTTGCTCCAGTTCAGAGGATGGCCTTAGCAAGCTGAGCAATGTGAACATATCGTGCATTATAGGTAGTGTTACTTTTTTCCTCCTCTGAAGGGAGGCACTGTTCTTTCTCCCCTCAGTGGCATGTGACTATCCATTTACTCAGATCCACTTTGGAGAAATAGTTCTGAAAGGCATGCTGATTTTTAACTCATGCTGTGATGTGGGTGACCTTTTGAGTATTGTTTGTAGTGGAATTTGCTCCTTTGTGGGCCTTTTGGCATTTGAAAGCTGTGGGGATTTGGAGAGGTGCCTAACAACTGCAGAAGGGATGTTATTTCTCAAGTATCCAGCCATCTCTGCAGCTAACATTAGCCTAATTGGGACTTTCTCCTGTTATATTTCTGTATAGTTGACAGGAATGAGCAATGATGTGTATTTGAGACAGGAGTTGGAAATGGTTTGCCTAATTCTGCTCAATGTGTAACTTTTTAAAAAAACCCTTTTCATGCCAATGTGTGCAATACATTATTGCTTTAAACTTGCCTCATCAAAGCAAACTGTGTTCCTTCACAGTTGGAACCTGATACTGGGTCTTCCCTAAACTGCTGCTTTCTGTAGTTTTTGTGAAGTTACCAAAACAACAGTTTATAGGTCAAAGATGGCAGGAAACACAAGAAAATTCAGAGCTCTCAGACTTGGCAGGAGGCAAGTAAGGTTAAATGATACAGGCTGGTCTCCTTTAATAGCTATAGAGTAAATTGACAAGTGTTTCTGAAATTGGAAGCTGCTGGTCCCTTGGTTCAGCTCTGAGACGACAGGGTAATGTCATCTGACATGAAAATTTCTTTGGCTGCTCCTGTGTCAGGACCCCACTGCTGAGGACTGACTCTGCTCCTTGAGTGAATTTCTCTCTTCTTTCAAATGGTTTCTAAATGTAGAGAAACCACATTTTGAGGAAGGAAAAAGGAAGGAAGGAAGTGGCGGAAGGAAGGAAGGAAGTGGCGGAAGGAAGGAAG